GATACAGACAATTACATACTGTACAGTTTGGTAGTTGGTAGAAATTACTTTCAGATATATCTCAGTTTATTTGGCTATTCACTAGTCTCTCAACAATCCTTTGAACATTTGTCCAAAAGTAACTGGTGTAACAGCCATATTTTGCCTTTCTCTCCCATAGCTGCTCAGTGTGGCAAGAAGTTATCTGTGTAGTTGAGATCAAAGGTTTGTGATGTCACTCCAGAACACTAAGGTTGTTTTTTCTAAGCCATAGAGACCGATATATATAGGCCGGCCAATTTATTAGCCAATATTACCTTTTTTATTCTTGTATCAGTGTCGGCCAACACGTCCAGGTGTTAGAGAATTATTATTGTGTAACAATACCTTAAGATAGCATACAGTCTATTTGCTATCTATTGTTGTTTTGTGTGATTGGTTAATAAATGTTTGTTTTTTATTTTGACTTGTGTAACATTTGTCATTATTATTTCATTTTTATCATGTGAATGGAGGGAGAAAAGCAATAAATACTGTAAGAATTTGCTCAAAAATATGGGCAGCATATATAGGAGGTCTGTTAGACTTGCATGCGAGGAGAAGTAAGCACTTTTTCACAAAAAGGTAACAGTACATGCTTGCAAACATGGAGTCTGAACAAGCAAACATCCAAGGTTTACGAATAAACTGAAAACCTTAAATAAAACATCTACAAATTTGTAGTTTGTGCAAAGGAATTGCAAATAGCAATATTTGTTAAAAATAATCGTAATTTAGATTTTCGCTCAGCCCCTGTGACCAAGTGCCTAACATATCCTTGGTGATCATTTGAGATGGTGCTTCAATAGATACATCTAATTTCTTGCAGAAGAGAAACTCAGGCTTTCAAAAACCTACAATGCAGCGATAGTGTTGATTCCTTCCTGCTATCATTTCAACCCCCATGCAGGGGAACAGAACATTTCATCTATTCAGCCAGGCCAACAACTCCCTCTAACGACCCCCTTTCAGAGACAAAGACAGGTATCAGGTTTTGCAAGCTAACAAATGACCCAAGCGACTGCCCATTACTAAGGGGTGGACCCATTTGTCTGGTTCAATTTACAAGTTTTCTATTCCCAAACAAGGCTTTGTTTTATGTCCACTCTATAAAGCCTCAAACGCAACCCTACTTTTGACATTTTGATTTGAAAAAGCTTGCTAGATGTGAAGCAAAACACCTTCAAACTTGGAAACAAAGTCCAGTTGATTGTTTTTTTTGTTTTGTTTTACTATTTTGGAATGACTATGATCTGGATGACTGACAATCTTCCCCAGCATACCCGCTTGTGTCTTTTCAGCTCTGTCAGCACAGGATTTTGCTTTTGCTGTTGTATCCATGAATGCATATTACATAAAAACATGGGCAACTCTGCAACACAGAACCCGTCTCCAAACAGTATAATTCCGAATGTTAGCATGGTGGTAATAGTTTCAAATAATTATTTGATCGTTGGAGCTTCAGGCATCTGGAACTTGTACCCAAAGATGTACCTTGTGAAGGTCAACAGTATACTTCTTAGCTGCTTTTTATCTTTTACATTTCTATATGTCAAAAAATAAGACAGTTTGAAGTTTTTCCTTTCAAATTATTATAAGGCAAATTGATTATAGGATATGTAAACTTCTGATTAGAAGGAAGTTTTACAAAAAAAAAACCTCTGATTTGTCAAATAAATTAGATATTCTCCTGACTGACTTAAAGCAGGGAAGCAAAGTTTCAATTTACTATGATGTCACAGAGTGAGAAACATTGTAAAAGGTTGTAAATCTTCTTATGTATAGCATTAATATTTGGCTTCAGATTTGGATGAAATCAGATAGAATCAACGTTGTTTGTCAGTATAAGAACATGTATGTTAATTGGATGCACAAACTTTTTAACTTAAAGACCAGACTTTAAATGTTTCCTTCCACACATCTGTGTTCTGTCACCACCTCTGTAGTCATGTCTGCTTTTCTTAGTTCCTCCCTCCTACTAAACTCCCACAGTGATGTTAGCCATTTATGCCCACAAAGCACAGCTGTGGAGGAGCAACAGAAGCAATCTGAATCTCCCCAGCCTTTTGCTTCAGGGACAGTTGTAGATAGACTGGGGTTTATTTTTGACAAAGCTATGTGACAGGTTTCATCACGTGTTCTTTGATTGTTCCAAGAAACGTGGGGTTGATGGCACCAAGTAATCTAACAAGGGCTTATACTATAGCTGGTTAAGCTGCCTTGAGGATAACATGCACATAAAATTTATTCTTAACATTAGCTAGAGAATAGGTACTATAAGAATTACAGACTTTTTACGGTGATTTGGGTTAATTAGATACATGCATGTGGTTTTTGCTTTGAAATGTTCTCCTAGATCCACTGTTATAAAAAGTTACTTGCTTGTATATAAAAAAAAAACTATTACAGTGCAACAGTGAATGCATTATTGTCCTGACTGAAACATGTAGATTCATAACAATCCCATTTACGAGGATGTTTGCTGATTGAATCATGTTTAGGAAAACAGGCCACTAACAAACCACTTTAGCACATAGCTTATAACTTATTCTTATGAAGTGAAAAACTTATCTCTACCTATTTTATTTAATTTCTGTAGAGGACAAAGCAAACATGTAGAAGGTTTCTGGTCAGGTAGGTCCAAAGTTATTTTTTTTCCAATAAGGAAAGAAACACTACCCAGCACCTAAAACAGCTGTCACATGGTGTTGCCAACATCTTGTTAGGATACAGCACTTTGTGTTGATCTATAACATATCTCAATGTAGAGCTTATAGAGCTGTAGAAGCTTTTTCAACATAATTTGTCATTAAAATCCCATGAAATGGTTTTGTCGCTCTTCATTTTGTCCTGCGGTTGGACAAACTTCCACCAACAAAAGCCTGATTAATTTCATTATTTCTCTCTGAAATGACTTATTATCAATGCTCTGACAAAGAGCAGGAGCACTTATTATCATGTAAATCCAGCCAACAAATGAGAAACCAACAAACAAACTAATGAATGGACAAATAAATCCAAGGATACAGTGTAAGATGATGTCACTCATTATTGATGGAAGATTCACAGCTGAACAAGGAAAATAAATATGGGAAAATTGAATGTCAGCAGTGATGCATCAGAAGTGGCGAGCAAAGCAGTGAAACAAAAAGATTTGCAAAATGGTTTCCAGGCAAATGAAAGCATGGTCTCTAGAGGTGATTGGCATTGAGAAAACAAAGGGCCCTCATGTTATTTCTGGATAGGTTTACAGCCAATATGAGGCAATGGTCACATTTTGTGTCCATATGTGCTCAGCAGCAGCGATACACAGTCAAATTCTTCATTTTATAATTTTATGGGCTTTATTTCTGCTCGCTGCTTTTTTTTCTGGAGTAAAAAAGTATAATTTGACTTAGGCTTATAAATTTATTGGAGATAATCAACTTAAACAAATGATATTATTATTATCTACAATTATGTGCTAACTAAGAGTTTAAAGGAAACTAGAACATAAAGTCGTGTAAACCTGGCAGCTGCAGTCGACATTAGCTCACCCCCTCTAAGGTATTTATGTGTCCAATAAAAATGTTTGTCTAATTTAAGATTTTCATGTCTCATCTTGCAATCTCACGTTTAGTTGAGATACACTGACTATGCAGACAAGCTGATCCCTTTGCTCTCTATATAGTCCAATATGTGGAGCTTTATGATGTTAGGGTGCAAATAGTTCCAGAAACTGTGTTTGAATTTTTCTAGATATTCTCTAGTTTGACTTTGAAAGAAGTTTTGCGTTTGGAAATTAATTTTACTGTATTTCTATACCTGATATATATTTTCTATTTTAGAGACATGTTTATCCTGAACTATAAACCACTTTTCTTCCCCTCCAGTCTGATTTACCTAGTCATGTAGTTGAAAGAATCTGGGGGGTGTTATATCTAACAGACTTTGGCTTTATAACAAGTTTGCTATTTGCTAAAAATGTTATGATTTATGCCACTCTATCTAAGTTTCTTTTTTATGCTTTTAATGAATGCCTCTTTTTGGCTTCAAATCAGTACCACCATTTTAAACCTTGGGATGTGAGTGTCTTTTGTGTGAATATGTCATTTATTACATCTGAATTCTTTGATTTGATTTCCAGTGTTGTGTATATTTACTGCTATGAATCCAGCTGGGTGTATCACTTGCTAGCTGAGCCCTTAAAGCATTATTGTTCTCATGACATTATTGGAAGAGGTGTTTCTTTTTAATTGCTGTGGTGAACCTCTTTGAGTTGCTATGAAACATAACCTTTATGACATGAGTCATAAAAAGAAATACAATTTTGTCAATAGAGACTAATTTGTTTGTGGAACATAACCTATAAATAAGCTCTCATAAAAACTAAGCCTGCTGCATTATGCTGTATATGATGTTTAGGGCTAAATTATTTCAAAACTGTACGTCAGTTTCAATATGCAACATTTGGAATTGATCAAAATGGTCACATGCAAACATCAACAATGTTTTGGACTGTATTTTAATAATAGCTGCCTTTCTTGGACATCTAATAAAACCTATCAACTTTTTCTATTCCTCTTCAAAAGCTATTTGAAAACTGAAAGGCTCAATAAATGTATTCCATGACATATATCTTCTTTTCTTTTGTATGTTGTTATTGTTTCCAGGGTTTGGATGAAGAGGCAATAGTTGACCATGGAAAGACAAGCTTCTCAACTCTTTCAAACTATGAGACAGATGATTTGGAAAGTAAGTACAAAGCCATTAACCAAAGAATACTTTAGTATGTTCAGACATTATATTTACGTACATACCATTTACTGAAATAATTTTAAGGACATATGAATGTTTCCAATGATTTAAAAATCCTTACAAGTGCTTTAATGACTGAAAGTCTGCTGCTTGTTTGCATTCAACCATCCACCTGTAATAGTATTTATTTAGTATTTAACTATGGGGTAGTACTTTTTTCTGTGTTTTGTATGTACATTTGGGTAAAGGATATAAAGGATCATCATTGGTCCCTTTTTATGTTTAGCATTTTCCCCCCCACTTTCTAACAGCCTTCTGACCATATTGGGCTGATAGTTTTATGCTGAAAACAGTATTGATAGGTGCCACCAAATGGTCATAAGTTATTAGAAAAATTTGAATCAGTGCAGGACTCAACCCAATCCAGCATTCAGCATGGTGAGGGGAATGAAACTTGAGATCTGTATGGTCAAGAAACATCAGTTAAGCACACATGTACATCTGCATGGTGTCCGCACGGCGTGATGTTACGCAACGTGCACCAAGAAAAAATTGTAGCTACGTGGTCCTTATGACGAGGGTATACAAATATCAGCATTTAAAGACATTTTTTGATTTGGCTCTTAAATTTCACCACAATCATAAGATTGTAGAAAACCCCTTGGAAAGAAATTACAGTCACTCTTGGATACTACAGAGAGGCTTTAAAAATTTTGAATGCAATAGTGTGTTTTCTACTTCTACATGTTTTGTTGTATTTTAAGCTTGTGGTCTATGTCTTATAAAACAATATTCATCCCTATTCAGGCATAATTTAGCCTTTAGAAAACAATTAGATATTTACTCAAAGTCTTACCATGTTTCATAACTGAAAGCAGACGTAAACTATATACGAAAAGGGATTTAGAGTTGTTTCTTATTTCTCTCATCAGTCTTAAAACTACTAAACAGTGGAAGAAAATGAATCATCAGATATGTATTCCTATCCATATGGAAACTAATTGCTCCAATATCCTGTTGACATTAGAATGTTGTACAAAAAAAAAAAAACACATATTACTTATATAATTTCATTAACAAAGTAAGAGCTGATCAGAAGTCATTACGTAAACATGGGATTTCTTGGTAAATGTGAAGGGTTCACACCCAGTTTTCTAATGCCTTGCTAACACACCCAGTGTCATTTATGGTTTAAAGTAGTATTGTATTCTCAGCATATCGCTAATTTTATTAACTTTTATTCAATTTCTTTAATTTCTGTAGAAATAATAACATTTCCTAGGTCTTTTCTATGTAGTGTAGGAAAAAATTAAATTTCACAATGACATTATCTACATTTCTCTAGTCCATTGTGGTTTTCATCATTATCATATCTTCTTTGTTTTTGTTTTTTTTCTACATGCTATATGTTGGTGTCACTTCTCATGGGGTTTCCCTCAAAACAAAGAGATGACTCATCTATAAAGGATGAGTATCAGCAGCTTGTGTTGGGTAAAAATAGGCCTTTTTTATTTTGGGATGCAAGTCCTTTGTGGCAGGAACAATAATGAGGGGAAGCAGACAAAACACTGGAAAAAATTAATTAGAAGAGAAAAAGCTTAATGTTGTTCTCTGGTTTCCTTCAGTTGATTAAGTCAAAATTTCCAAAGAAATGGAAAGTGATTCTTCCTCAGTTTTTTTGTGTAAAGTGATCTGTGATTTTAGTGCCATTTCTTGCAATCGTGACACTAAATTAGTCTTTTATGTAGTTTGGCATTTTCAGAATTCTAAAAGTTAAAGTTAATGTGCTCAGTTTGTAATGTTGAACTAGTTAGTATTTTATGTTTTTATTCAGTGAATGTTTCTAAGAAAATGCTCTTGAAAGAGATGGTAAGTCAAGTTACCTAAGGTGCTTATCAGACATTTGACAAGGGTTTTGACAATACAAAAAAAAAAGATCAGAGTAGCCCCAAAACAAAGTTGGTTGTGTTTGAGAGAACTTTTTTAGATAAACTGCCTTTTCTGTCCTAGGTCACAGAGCAGTGTACGTTGGGGTCCATGTTCCACTTGGAAGAGAGAGCAAACGGAGGCACCGCCACAGAGAACGCAGGCATCATCGAAAGAAGAAGGACAAAGAACCTGAGGAAGGAAAGGAGGATGGAAGAGATTCACCTAGTTATGGTTTGACTCTATTTTTTTTTCAGTACACCAATCAACAGTAAATCCTTTGCTTTTTTATACCAAAAGCTATACTACTGTTAGATTTGCCAGAGATTCAAATAACTTTTTTGTTTACCTTCGTTGCCAATATAAATCACCAAACACAAAATCCAGAATTAAGCGGGTTTTTTTTTTTTATAAAATATTATCAATTTATATATTATTAATATAAGTCTAAATGAAGTTATCTATCTATAGGTTAATTTCTTTTGTTGATCAGGTTTTTAAACAAACTTTTAGTAAATAATATATAACTTATGTTAATAATACATAAATATGACATTTCTCAAAGATCTTTTTCTATTAATGTCTGGTCATTTTGTTGAAAGATGAGCCATATTTATCTTGTCACCTTGAACAGTTGGCAGTAAGATAAAGTAGGAGGAAGAAAGCTTCATGCATGGGGTACTCATACAAATCAATTGCAAGGCAGAAGAAATACAAGTGGGCTCATGGCTACAGTGAAGAACCACCCACTCACCTCTCAGAGTCCAAATGTGCAGCATGATTCATTCACAGAAAATGTCCTTCTTTTTTTATATAGTTATTTCTTTAACATGACTAAATTAAATTCAAAATCAATACAATAGAAACACTTTATTAATCCCAAAGGGAAACTAAATGTTGAAGTAACTCATCAGCTCTTTTGGTAATGAGTTGTTGTAGATGTTGATAACTGGGCAGGAAGGATCACCTGTATCAGTCTGTCTTGCATCTGATCTGATCATGGACTTCCTTGAGTTTTTCAGCCTTCTTTAAATATCTCTGCTTCTTTAAATCATGGTCCGAAAGCCTG